AGTAACAATGTGAAATGTACTGTCTTACTTCCCAACTTTCTACCAAGGCCAAAGTACATGTGTCATTCCCACTAGCAAAGATCTGATACTGTCCTCAGTAACCACAGGCCTATGTCACGTGGTGTTAACATGTTCCTGCCCAGATCAGCTGCTCCTGTTTCATCCTTTGGTTTATTCAAATATAATAAGAGATAGTCAACTTCAGACTGTGTATTATCATTTTTCTTCCTGGCTTCTGGTCACATTTGAATTATCAAAGACAGGTTGTGGGTTGGGAGCTGGCCTCTAACACACTACTTAGGAGGACAGACAGTAATTCACCATCACAGGACAAACATGAGTCTGGAGCTCCAGGTCATGGATCAGAACATTAAATCTTTACAAAAACCTGTTTCTGTAAAAAATTACAGCTATTGAGAAGGAAGGAGGAGGAACTGAAGAGATCAGAGAAAATTGCTTAGGAGACTGGTGTGAGTTAGATTCCAGCATTGGCAGAAAAATAAAGAAGTCACCTAGTGGAGGGAGTTGGCAATTTACAAACTCTGATCTCTCTGGGATAGGAGGGGCCTGGAAGAGGGGTTGCATTCCTTGGTCAAGTCTGGCCAATGGCAAATCGTCATTTTCCTCTATCTGCTTCATACTGATGTCTATTCTTTTTACAACAGCCAAAACTGTACTTGTTGGTGAGAATGTGGCTTTGCCAGGGAAGTTTTGAGTTTCAGAAGAGTACAAAGCAGAGAAGGCAGCTCATGAGGATAGCTCATCACAGTCCCTAATTAGTAAAAAGGAGGTGTACTGCATTACGGAAGCCTAACAATGAGCTTTCTAACTTTACCCTGAATGTAAGCTCACAGACTTTAAGTTGGTAAGTGAAAAAAATACAGTTGCAATTAACATAAGACAAAGGTAATGATACAGTGAGGTAGAGAATGGCAACAACAGAAAGTATTTTTCTGGGGATGCATGTGTTTATCTGCTGAAAGCCTACATGTATGATATACCTGTAACTATCAAATAAAGCAAAACCCCCGAGAGACCAGTTCTGATCTGAAATTTGATGGATTCATTTTTCATTTTCTACAAAGTAAGCTTGAAACTGCCAATCTGGAGTGTGTCCTAGAAATTGCCAAGTGTGAGATACAGTCTGCGACTGAGAGTACCTCATCACAGGTCCTTTCACTCTCAGAAGCAGCCTCGGTGGTCACTGGGAAATGTTCGATCAGAAAATATGGCCAAGTTCTTTAGAGCTCTGGAATGCTAGGATTCCATGATTTTAGAAGTCTAGATTTTAAAAGACAAATTAATATGATAAAGAAAAAAACATCCTTTCAGGCTCTTGTACACTTATAAATAAAATTTACCGGTACCTGATAAGCCATGTTATTAGTAGGTGAATTTCCATTCATCCTACTTATTTATTAGCTAATTACAATTCCAAAATTGAAGATTCACTGATCAGTCCATTGAACTAAATTGTCAATAAATTCCTGTGACTTATTTTAGTTTCACACACAATAAAAGTATTTTTCTTTTTTGTCAAATGCTCCTCATAAGTCAAGCCAGCACACTTGCATCAATGAAATACAAGAGCCGACAAAAGTAATGTAATTTTATAAGCTAAACCTAAATTACTCCATAGGATTGGGAGACCAGCAAGGATACAAGGAATTTCTTTGTGTACCTGTATGCTTAAGTATAAACAGGTTGTTCTAAAGTCATTTCAGAAATAGATCCTATTATGACTTTCTTTTTAAAATGTTTCCTACAGAGGTAAAGAAGATAGGTTACCTGTAAAAGTCCAGGCCATCATCTCTCTACATGGTCATATATGCTACTCCATACTAGTCCTGAGGCATCTTACCTGTGCCCCAGAGTCACCTTTGGAGCATAAAAATCATCAGGTGTCTGGGCCTCACATCAAGAAATTATGACCTATGGCCATGGAGTTGAATCAATGCTTTTGCAATTCGGTACGTGTCCAGTGGTGATGTGATACGTAATCCACAGTGAGATCCAGCACTCACCCTCTACGATGCAGGTGCTGTACTACGCTGCCTACATCTCAGCACTATAGGAGCAAGACAGGTACACCCTCAGCTTCTGGGAGGGGTGGCCGGCCACAATAAAGGGCTTCTCCAGCTCCTGTTCTCCATAGCCCAAAGGGCCTTTCCTCACTCACTCAAGGTCATCACCACTGGCTGAGGGCAGCTGGTACCCAGGGCTTAGTCAAAAAGAAAGGGGAACAGCAAAGGCAGAATTCATTTGCCTCAGGATGAGAAAATTCTAAATTATCTTGAACAGCAACCCACTGTACAATGAAGTTACTTGGTATTAGGTGTCGGGGAGATAGGGTCAAAGACTAAGGCCCAAAGCTGCTTTTGCCTATTGCTACTAGTGATCTAAATATGTCATACAGTAATCAGTTTTCAATGCTAATAATGGAGACAGTAACAACAATGTAACAAGCACTACTACTATGCGATCTACTTTCCTGAGCAGGTGTAAGGAAGCAATAATATATGAACCACATAAAATATTGTGAGTCACAGAAAATACTGATATATCTTTAAGTCTGAAATTCCTCACATATTATGTGAGATAAAGATATTGAAGACACTGAAAGGTTTAAAACTGCTTTAATCCTCAAATATATATCTATTTGGAATTTTTCACTGCATGCATTTGGTGACTTAACATGATGAAATATAATGGTTTTGTCTGCTCAATTTGAAACTTCTACATTGAGGTGAAATTAGGCATAAAAATAGTGTCAGGTGTCGGGACAATTCATCTAGGCAAGAATCATCAATGAACAGTGCTAAGAAAACTCTTCATATACCAAAGAATGATGTTGGATCCCCAACTCATATTACATGTAAAAAATAATTCAAAATGAATCAAAGACATAAATATAAGAGCAAAAACTATTAAATTTTTAGAAGAAAATTGGCCAAAACCTTCATGGTCCTGGACCAAGTGGTAGTTTCTTAGTTATGGCACCAAATGCGTAAGGAATAAAAGAAAAATTATCAATAAATTGATAATTTATTAAATTATTAATTTATTAAGTGGACTTCATCTACATTAAAATTTTTTGTTTCAGGGCACAGCATCAAGAAAGTAAAAAAAAAAAAAATCTCACTGAATGAGACAAACTATTTGTAAATCATTGGGACTTGGATTCAGAATACGCTAAAAAATACCTTTCCAACTCAGCACTCAAAAAACAGATAACAGCGATAAACTGGGCAAGAGACTTGAATAGACGCTTTACCAAAGATGATATATAAGTGGTTAATAAGCAAGCAATGACATATCATTGGCCGATAGAGGAAGTCTAATCAAAACCACAGTGAGAACTCAGGGCAACAATTTCTGACATTGCCAGTGAAGTGGAGGACCCAATACTATTATGGACTACTGGACTCTTTTGGAATATTTTGCTGAGTTAACACACCTATAATATTCAAATAACGGAACTAAACAAAAAAGGGGGATGCAGATGAAGGTCCATTTTGTATCTGTGTATTCAAGGTGATTGGAATAGATATATAGTTACATTCTCTTAATGAATAGAGGGATTTGTTCTAATGGTGTTTGTAAATAGGGTATCATGTCCGCATCTTGTACAGCAATTAACCACTAGGAAGAATGTATGCGATGTGTTAATTATTGAAACTGTCCTACCAATTTGGTTTGAAATTGTCTCATTGCTATTTGTTTCTCAATAAAATTATGGGAAAAAAGGGAAGAAACTACAGTGAGACACCATTCCAGGCCTACTAGGGTGGCTGCGACGTAAAACAGAGAGCTAACAATAAATACTGACAATAGAAACTGGAGCTCTTGCACACTTTGGGAATATATCACAGCACAGGCGCCTTAGAAGCTAGTCTGAAAGTTCCTTAAAATGTCAAATAGAATTACCAAAAGAGCCAGAAATTTTACCTCTGGAGAAATGAAAGTACATCTGCATAAAAATTAGTACAGAGGGCTAAGGATACAGCTGAGCGGTACAGCACTTCCTAGTATGCATGGTTCAATCCCCAGCACAGCAAAATATAACCAACAAAAATCTAGTGCAGAATGTTCATGGCAACATAATCCAGAATAGCCAAAAAATGGGGAAAAAATCCAATGTCTACCAGCGGATGATGAGTGGTGATTAAATAAAATGTGTTATACACATATGATGGAATATTATCAGGCAATAAAAAGAAATGAAATACTGACATATACGCTAACATAGATGAACTCTGAAAACAGTATGCTAAATGAAAGACATCAGTTGTAAAGTAACACATATTCAATTATTCCATTTTTATGAAATGTCCAGTCTAGAAAAGTCCACAGAAAAGGAAAGTAGTCTAGTTTTACCAGGGGCTAAGGAGGAAATGTGTAATGACTATTAACGGGGATGGTGTGTTTATCTGGGGTGATGAAAATGTTCTAAAATTATTTAGGTGATTATTATACAACTCTGTAAATATACTAAAAATCACTTAATTGTATTAAGTGGGTGAATTATATAGTACGAGGACTCTATCTCACTAAAAGTAGCAAAAATAATCTTATGAGCTAAAGAAGTAAGACAGATGGAAATAAAAATTTAAATATAACCCATGGAAAAACATGATGTCTATTTGCTTTGTTTATAAGGGAACTTACTGTCTAACATTAAATAAATCAAACCACAAACGTCATCTGTGGAAAGAGACTGGACAGGAAAAACTGACTGTGGCCTGAAAGAATTCAGATTCCCACCAGCACAAAGCCCTTGCATATCCTTCCCACCAAAGGAGATCAAAGTCTTTAGAAACTGACTCAGATGAAAGGAATCAATAACCTGCTGCTGGCTCGTCTACATTTGCTAAAAGCATTTTAGCAAATAACAGCACTCTAAAAATGAACATCTAAAATTCAATTTAGTAGTAAATCAAGAACACTTGGATCAACGACTTTGCCCCTAATCGTACTCACTCGAATGCCCAACACTTTACCTGTGAGCCTTCAGGATTCTCTGCGCGATGGCGTCGCCCACCTTGTTGAACACAACTTTGTCATCAGCACAGCTTATAAAAAATTGGTTCTATGAGAAAAAAATAGAACAGGTATTCTTATAAACTTTTCTCAGTACAAGGAAAATGCGGTAAGGAATAAAGGCTGCACTGATTGCTTTTTGTTTTGTTTTGTTTTGTTTTGTTTTTAAAAAGGGTTACACAATAGACAGGTTCTGACCACGGAAATCAGACCAGGAAAATGAATTCCACAGAACAAAAGAGTCTGACTTGGGTCTCACGAATGCCTAAGTCGGTGATCACTTTTAGCATTCTTATCAAATAGAAGGCCACATTATTATTTCATCATGAGAACTTCTGAGTTATATTCTCAGACTGCTAAGAAAATTCTAAAATTAGGCGTTCTTCTTCAGATTCACACATTGTGTAGATGCTTATGATTAAAACTTCAGGGGCCAGGGAGATAGCTCAGTAGAATAAGCACTTGCCTGGCAAGTGCAGGGTCCTGAGGTCAATCCCCAGTACAGCAAAAACAAAAAAACCAGAAAGACAAACAAACAAAAACCCCTTCATATATTGGCTTGTACTCCATGTTAAGTCTATGTTTTAGAAAGTTAGATGGCAGCTGCCTGGCCTACTCTTTCTATCCTTTCTCCACTCTATCTTTATGTCTGCTTTTACCTTGTCTGCTTTGCTTAGGTCTCAGATTAGCCCTGAACTTCTATCTTAAGTAGTTTCAAAGCCCTTTTGTAAGTATGCTGTATATACTAATAAAAATAAACTAGCAAAATGGAGGGGAAAAGTACTTCTGCTATTTGTATACATAAAACATTCTTTAACACCAATATGAGAAAACCAGCTGTCACATTTCTATCATGGTATAACAATTTTTTTGCTGCATAGAAGAATGTTAAGGGCAAGGGACATAGCTCAGTGGCATAAATGCCTGCCTGGCAAGTGCTGAGTTTGATCCCTGGTATTGCAAAAAAAAAAAAAAAGAAGTTAAAAATTAGGGATGAATATTATAAATACTATGTGTTTGAGTACATTGCAGATTGTTATACCTGCAATTTCTAAGGACAATCACCTCAAATCATCTTAAGGTGCAAAGATATATAGGCAATAACTCAAAATATGGGTATCATCTTTTCGCAGCATAATCATTTTTATCATTGCACAGGGTTTTTTACTAACTACACGAATCTGAAAAATACCTCCAGAACACAAACTCATAGAAGACATTGTGCAAAAACTCCTTGAAGCTTGTGGTTCGCTTTAGGGCACTTAGAAATAGAAAGCTCAGCCAAACCATGCTGTTTCCCCAACCCTGAATTTATACTATGAGGAAGTTTTCTATTTCTTAGCAGTTCTAAACACAGAGAGGCCACATCTTACTCCTTCCCTTCTTTCTGTGCAAGTGTAGAGCATATGCCCATCACCTAACCTGGCCCGAGGAATGTCTGTCAGGTCTTTGTCTGGGGCCATATGTATGTACTTAGCATTCCTGACCTTATTTAATGCTATGAGCATATTTATAAGAAAAGCTGATATTAACACTAGTAAAAAGAGACAAAGCAAACTGACTCTAGATAATAGATGAGTCAGCCTTAAAATCTTATTTTATTATGGCAAAACTGTCAAAGTTAGTAATACTATACTTTATGCAGAGTTTGTGACTTTCTCCTCTAATGTCCTGTATTTACTGCAAGCTCCCAGCCAGCTATTATCTGCATTCAGCCTGCTAATGCTTTCACCTAGCACTTAGCTTTCTTTCTATTCATGCCCCAGAAATAAAGCTCTAGTGCTGCCTGCCTTTAATGAACTGTCACTGCATTGGGGGCTGTGGGGTGAGACAGCATTGCAAGTGAACAAGATAAGGCTAGAACCGTTTTTCCCAGCTAATCCATGTACCCCTAAACATGTGTTTTATTGGATGGGAAAGAAGAGCTAGAATAAAAAAAGAAGATATGCTCTGACTTATTTTTTCCACTACTATAACTTTTTTATTTTCTCAGGGTTTTCCAAGCATTCTAAGATATTTTTATACCTACTTTGAAGTACAATTAAAGTTTCCAAACCAAACTTCAAAAAATGTTCTCAGACTTTCTCATATACTCTGTACACAAACTCTAGGGTCAGGAAAAAGTACTAACAAAGGTAGTCTACAGAGGATTGTTAGGGTGACTCATGTAACAGTAGGTTACAAAAACCCATCCCATTATTTTCTACTGTAAATTTGCACTTCAGTATAATAGTAGCCAGGTGTGCATCTCAGCAGCTGCTCCTGGGGGTACAGGAAGCAATCTTTGTGTCTCATTTGGTACCAGGGACAAAAAGCAAGGTGCATGCAACTGTGCACAGTGTCAAACTGGGATTTGCACCCCTATAATGCTCCCTCTAACTGTTTTTGACCATCACAGGATAAGGGTGGGGAAAATACACCCATACCGTTCTGTAATCATATACTTTACAAAATGGAGTGTTGATGTGACTCACAGCATCTGGGTTTGGGAAATCAGGAAGCCATCTGCCATTCACCCATTTAGCAGACAAATGACAAGGTGTGTTAAGAGCTCCAAAGCAGTAACGTGTGTATTTAGGGTATGTTTTTAAATTATTTTTCCATAACTTTATTGAGAAACAAATAGAAATGAGACAGTTTCAAACCAAATTGGTAGGACAGTTTCAATAATTAATACATTCTTCCTAGTGGTTTTTTGCTGTACAAAATGCGGACATGATATCCTATTTACAAACACCATTAGAACAAATCCCTCTATTCATTAAGAGAATGTAAGTATATATCTATCCTAACCACTTCCAATACACAGATACAAAATGGACATTCATCTGTATCCCCTTTTTTTGGTAAGTTCCATTATTTGAATATTATAGGTGTGTAGGGTATGTTTTTAAAAGAAAAAAAAAAGTTTTCTTTTGATTTTTCTGATAGAAGTCACCCAGTTCAGTACACTGGCACATGAAAAACCAGATTTCAAGCTTTGTAGGAGGTTGAAAGCGAATCACCAGGTGACTCGCACACAGATGATGATGTTGGCCATGGGAGCCAATGTTCTCATGACAGTAAACTGAACAAGAACCAGCAGATACAGACACAGAGAATGAAGAACTCCGTGATTCAGCTGATGAAGCAAACAGCAATGACAGTATATATCTGACTAGTCAAAATGGTACAAAATGGTCACATAGCCAGATGGAATAAGCCAGTGTCAGAAATATATCCGAAAGTATAATGAGGATCTTGGCAGGGATGAAGCCTATTGGATGGAATGCCAGCATTGCCGTTCACTGTTGGAAATTGTAACAGACAAAATGCCCCAAGACACTGTGAAATATACAAATGATGAAATGCACGCAAAACATTCTGCATATACCAATACTCAAACATATATTTGTTATGCTATCTCACTAGCTGAACTAGGTCTGTTGTACTTAGCAAGGCTTCCTCATGGTAATCACAGAAATATAAAAGACTGCGGATATAAAAGACTTATGGGTGTGGGCTTGAGCTTTGCAGAATAATAACGACACTGAGGAAATCTGATTTCCTTCAGAATTGCCCAAGATTTGTTGACAAAACCTCCTGCCAAGAAAGAAAAAGAACTGATAATCTGGATGCTATCTGCTCATTGTTTGAGTCTTGTTTCAAAAGTTCAAGTAATTTACACACCATCTGAATACATGACTATTGGTGAATATCTTGTATTATTTTGTGGTCACTGTAGCTTTAGACAGTATACTAGGGCAGTATGGCTTTTATTGTTGACCAAAAGGAAAGAAAGAAATGACTTACCTCCTTTATTTCTAACTATACTAGAACCTTTACAAACTGAACCCCAAGATGGTAACTTTTTACAACAAAACCAAAGGAAGAAGAGATATCATTGTGATGTCACTCAAAACACAAAGTGGTGGCCAATGGCTGTGCTTTACTAGACCCTAAACATATGTAGTATGTGTAGTTTAACAGTTTACAAAGAAATAACAAATGCAAGGCTTGCATAGTGGTGCACACCCATAATCCCAGCACTTAGAAGGCTGAGACAGGAGGACTGGCACAGGTTCAAGGCCAGCCTAAATTACATAGCAAGCCCCCGACTCATCAAAAAATGCATAATATCACAGAGAAATTTTCTTAAAGGACTGGGACTGGGCCTCATAAAAGAAAATTTATTGCAAAAGAAGAACAAAATGTTTCTGCTCAGAGAACTTTGAAAAAAGAAAGAATGAAAGAAAAGAAAACCTACGGTGAATACTGGTGAGCTGACAGGTAAACAGGGCAGTGCAACATCACAAAGACCTACTATCCTAACAGGAAAGCCAGACATGCCAATTGTGCCGTACAATAAAGGACCCGACAATAATGATGTATGCTAGCAGTATAAGCAATACTTGTGCATGGAACATGCAGGCGTCATGCATGAGGATGCCGGGGGGGTGACAGTAGAAGCAGGGATGATTTCAGTGGTAGATTTTTGTTTGTATTTACATTGTAGTCTACAAGGGTTTTTATTTGGTATTATCCTTCAGGTTTT